TGCATCTCATCAGGGTGCATGGACTTCTGTATATTCCGTTTGACTAGGTATTTCCTGGCCTGAACTTCTTCTTTGCTCCAGACTTTCCCTCTGGTCTCCACATAATTGGATTTCTGAAGGACAGAGTTATTAGACTTATCATCCATTCAGGCCACCTGGCATTTTTGCCTGTCTTTCTGCTCTTTGAGATGAATTGCTTTTGAGTTTGGAGGAAGTGATAGGCTTTCTTGGGTCCTTCTTCCCTCCAGGGCTTTGTTCCATGGTACTCTTTCAAGTAGATCTTACACCCCTCTGTATTGTCTCTGCAGTAAATATCTGGGTGATTAAAGTTCTCCATAAAGACCAGCAAAGTGCAAAATAAGGGTTGAAGTTTCAGTAGTGAATGGAAATGTAAATATAATGTGTTTGAATTGGTACAGGTGAACTAAGAATTTTTTTCTCTTTGCTTGTAGTCAGACATGTATTTGCACTATCTTAATGGAATCCAGACCATCTCAAAGACAATCTTCTGCTTTGCTACACATTTATTAATAAATTAGCATGAAGAGTAAATGTGATCTTTTAATTAACGTGTATTCAAATGACCAAGAAATTATATGTTCACCTCAAATTGAGGACAAGTCTGAAATGTGTATATATAAAATGCCACTTTAAAAAGTCGAAAAGGGAAGACCTGGGGAACTACAGACTGATCAGTCTCAACTCTGTGCCTGGCAAGATCATGGAACAGATCCTCCTGGAAAATCTGCTAAGGCGCATGGAAAATAAGGAGGTGATGGGTGACAGCCAACATGACTTCACTAAGGGCAAATAAGGTCTGACCAATCTGGTGGCCTTCTATGACAAGGCTACAGAGATGGTGGATAATGAAAGAGAAACTGACGTCATCTACCTGGATTTGTGCAAAGCATTTGACACTGTCCCACATGACATCCTGGTCTCCAAACTGACAAGACATGCATTTGCCAGATGGACGACTTTGCAAATAAGTAATTGGCTGGATGGCCACACCCAGAGAGCTGTGGGTGATGGTTCAGTGTCCAAGTGGAGGCAAGTGACGAATGGTGTTCCTCAGGGGTCTGTATTGGGACCAGAGCTATTTAACATCTATTGTTTGCTGATGACACCAAGATATGCAGTGGGGTTGACACCCTAGAGGGAAGGGATGCCAACCAGAAGTAATTTGACAGACTGGAAAGGTAGGCCAATGCCAACCTCATGAAGTTCAACAAGGTCAAGCGCAAGGTCCTGCACCTGGGTTGGGGCAACCCCAGGCACAAATACAGGCTGGGGGGAGAATGGATAGAGAGAAGTCATGGAACAGATCCTCCTAAAATAAATGCTAAGGTGCATGGAGTACAGGGAGGTGATTCAGGACAGCCAGCATGGCTTTTCTAGGGGCAAATCCTGCCTAACCAACCTAGTGGCTTTCTGCAATGGGGTGACTGCACCAGTGGTCAAGGGAAGACCTACGGATGTCATTTATCTGGACTTCTGCAAGGCCTTTGACACGATCTCCCACAACACCCCTCTCTCTAAGCTGATGAGATACAGATTTGGTGGGTAGACTGTTCAGTGGATAAGGAATTGGCTGGATCGTCACATCCAGAGGATAGTGGTCAATGGCTCAATGTCCAGATGGAAAATAGTGACAAGTAGTGTCCCTCAGGGGTCCATACTGGCTTTAATAACTTCTTTAATGTTATTGACAGTGGCATTGAGAGCATCCTCAGAAAGTTTGCTGATAACACCAAGCTGGCTCATATGGTTGATATGCCAGAGGGATGGGATATCATCCAGAGGGACCTGGACAGGCTGAAGAAGTGGGCCCAGGTGAACATAATGAAGTTCAACAAGGTCAAGTGCAGGGTCCTGCATCCTGGCCAGGGCAACCAGAGATATTGTCCTGGTTTGAGCCAGGATAAAGCCAATTTTTCTTTTTACTGATTTTTTTTTCCTTCAGTAAGCTTTCTTGTAGCTAGCAACAGTGTGTTCTGCTAGGCTGATAAGACAGTGGAATGTTTTTCTAACTACTGAGGCTTCAAGGCTGCACCTGCACTCTGCCAGCTCAGACACTATGGGGAGATCTGTGACCCCCCCGTAGGAGGCTGAGTTAGATGGACAGCAAAATTGGCCAAAGATATTCCATTCCATATATCTACGTAAGCTCAGAGGAAGGTCAGAGATCACAGAAGACAACTTCCTTCCTTCTCCTTCTCCCCTTCTCTTCCGTCCATGGCCGGCGTCCAGGGAGGACTCTGTTCATCCATCACCGTCGATCCTCAGGCTTGATCTCTCCTGACCCCCATAACTCTCTGCTCTTTCTCCAGCAGCAGCTCCGGGATTCCTCGGGACTCTTCCCAGTTCAGGGAAGTGCTGTGGGAGTTGCTGGGGTGGGGGGAGGCGAGAGGTTTTTTGCCCATTCCTGAATATATTTGTATATAATTGTATATATTTTCTTGTATGATTCATTAGTGTTTTAATTAAAGCTGTGTAGTTTAGTTTTCAATCCAGCCAAGTCTCTCTCTTTTTCTCTCTCTCCTTCCCTACCTGGGTTGGGGGGAGGGGGGATCGAGAGCATTGTTGTCGGACCTGAGTCAAACTGTGACAGATATGAATACAGGCTGGGGGAAGACATGCTAGAGAGAAGCCCTGTGGAAAAAAGACCTGGGGGTACTAGTGGATCAAAAGCTGGACATGACCCACCAATATGCAATTGAAGCTCAGAAGACCAACTGCATCCTGGTCTACATCAAAAGAAGTGTGACCAGTAGGTCAAGCATGGTGATTCTGCCCCTCTACTCTGCCCTGGTAAGACCTCACCTGGAGTACTGCATCCAGCCCTGGAACCACCAACACAAGAAGGATGTGGACCTGTTGGAGCATATGCAGAAGAGGGCAATGAAAATTATCATAGGGCTAGGGCACCTCTCTTATGAAGACAGGCTAAGGGAGTTGTGGTTGCTCACCCTGAAGAAGAGGAGACTCCAGTGGCACCTTATAGTGACCTTCCAATACCTGAAAGGGGCCCATAAGAAGGCTGGGGAGGAACAGTTCCTCAGGGCATATAATGACAAGGAGTAACGGTTTCAAGCTAGAGAAGCATAGATTTAGGTTGGACATTAGGAAAAAGTTATTTAATATGACGGTGGTGGATCACTGCAACAGGTTGTCTAGCCAGGTAACATTCCATGTTAGGCTCCATGGGGCTCTGAGCAATCTGTTCTAGTGTGAGATGTCCTTGCTTATTGTATGGGGGTTGGACTAGATGACCTTTAGAAGTCGCCTCCAACACAAGACATCTATGATTCAGTCCTGAGGAAAAGGACCTGTGGGTGGTAATAGGCAAGACGTTGGACATGAGCTTCCTGACACACCCAGAACATTGTGTACAGCTCTGGAATCCTCAGCACAGGAAAGATATAGGCCTGTTGGGAGGGTCCAGAGAAGGGCCACAATGACAATCAGAGGACTGGAGCAGTATGCTACATAGACAGGCTGAGAGAGTCGGGGCTGTTCAGCCTGCAGAAGAGAAGGCTCCGCGGAGACCATATAGTGTCCTCCTACTACCTGAAGGGGGCTTATAGGAAAGCTGGGGAGGGACTTTTTACAAGGGCATATAGCAAGAGGACAAGGGGTAATGGTTTTAAATTGAAAGAAGGCAGATTTAGGTTAGATATTAGTAAGAAATTCTTCACCATGAGCGTAGTAAGGCACTGGAATAGGTTGTCTGGGGAGGTTGTGGCAGCCTCCTCCCTGGAGGTGTTTAAGGCCAGGTTGGATGAGGCTTGTGCAACCTGGTCTAGTGTGAGGTGTCCCTGCTCATAGCAGGGAGGTTGGAACCTGATGATCTTTAAGGCCCCTTCCAATCTTAACCGTTCTATGATTCTATTATGTATATGTAAATGAAGATAAACACATCTGAAAATAAAAATATTAATTCTGAAATGTTAAAAGCAAGTAAATATAGCTACACAAAATTCATTATGAAAAATCAGCACTGAAGTTATGATTAATAGCTTGGCACTTTGGTAGTGGCCCAGAAATACCCAAATACACATTATCTCAATGGTTTAATTGGAACCTACAAATCTAGTGCTATGCAAGTTCCATGAACTGGAGCAAGAGTTCTCAGCAACTTGGAAGAATAAGATGCATATTAATGATTAGTTAGTACAGATGACACTGCATACTATACTATTTATTTTTTACTTTGTTAGTGGTAACATACCACAGATTTTCAATAAAGATAGAGAGCATTAACACTTGTACTCAATGATATAGACTAAAGGCTGGGAATGCAACACTTCAGAATTGCTGAATCCAACATGATTTTCTGCCTCCCACACATATTCTGAGTACCAGAATATTCACACAAAACAGCAAATTAGGGCAAATAGGAATGGTGTTTTCAGCTTGTGTGGGATTCTTCTAACCCAATGCAGAAATCTACAGCCCATCTCATCCTACAAAAGATGTCTAAGATATGCAGATGCCTTATCTCCTCTGAGTAGAAGGGGAGTCTGAATAAATCACTCAGATGTAGCTGTTTATATTCCAAATGTGCAGAGACATGGTATTGCTGATCTTATTCCTCCTCATGCTTTGATTTTCCTGTTCTGTACCAAAACATTTGTTCTCATCAGCCTGTGTATGACTAAGTCCTAAGACTGCATGACACCTAAGACTGCACAACACTGAAGTTAAAATACAATTAATATTGTGTTTTGGATTTTTTTTTCTTTTTTTTTTCCCCGACAGCATCAAATCCCATGCTCAGAGTTGTACATTTATTGGAGGAATGGTCAGCTGAGGAACAATTAGAAGGCACAGTCTAAGAGTTTTTATGCAAGTTCAGTTAAAACTCTCGTAACTTTGATACACAGATATGTATATTTATATATATATATAGTTGTTATTAAACAATCATATAAACCTCAATTGCACAGAATTGGACAATCACACTTGTAGCACAAGGCACTTCAAAAGACAAGACTTACCTTTGAACCCAGCAGCACAATGACATAAAAAGTGGCCAATTAAATCCATGCAGGTAGCTCCATTTTTGCAAGGTGAACTTGAGCATTCATTAATTTCAGCTTCACAAAAACGTCCTTCATATCCAGGCAAACAGTTACAGCTGTAGTTATGCAAATGGTCCTGGCAAAAACCATATACAGAGCACCGGTTTCCAATGCAATTGTCTATATCAACTTCACAAAATACGCCAGTGTAACCAAGGGGACATATGCACCTGTTATTGAAATGAGAGAAGAAATAAAAAAACCTCAAACCAAAACCCACCAATCATTAATATATAAGTCAGTAACAGCTAATGCTAACAATATTTTCACTTTGAATTACTCACAAATGAACTGAATTTTTTTAGTCTTCTTTCTTTACATTTACGTAGTCACTAAGAAACTTTGTTTCACACAGACTGTTTTCAATAATTAAATGGAACTGCACAATAATTTAAAAAATAGCTATTTATATGGGACAAACTAATAGCTGTACAGCTTTTAATATGAGACTTCCAGTGACAATATTAAAATAAAGAACTGGATTAAACTATTAATTTTGTGCATTTTGAGAATTTATTTTCTGATAGTATTAGTTGCTTGCTACAGTATCAGTAGAAAACCAATAGTAGATCCTGTTTGTTCAGAACATAAAATCAGTATAAAAATGCTTTATCATTAGAAGCAAATGTTGGAATTTATGTCTGTAACTGAAAAAAACCCACAACAAAATCTATATAATTTTATAGAAATTGAGCAAGATATTTTAAAGAAATTGAGCAAGATATTTTTTCCCTTTTACAATATAGGATGACATATAAATTGTATAAGACTAGAGATTACTTTTTCATGCTTCCCCTTCTCTAATTTTTTTTTAATGTGTGAATGAAAACAAAGCTAGATTTTCTCATAGCTGATCCACATCTCATAAAACTAGAACATCCCTTGTACTTGGCAATATTTTCTTTGATTGATCTTTCCTCGTCATGTCCAGAGGTCTCCTCTCATAGGAGGAGATAATCTTACATATTATTGATTCACAGAGATGTTATGTAGAAGCTGAAATGAATTAGCAAGTTAAGGAAGACTCAATTGTAGCAATTTTCCTTTTTTCCCTACAGAAACATCTGGAAAAAAGGATATATTTTTTTCTTTATTATTAAGCAGAAATTAATGTGCATTGTCCTTGCTTACTATTCCTGCACTTTATTGTTAGACTTGTGGAAATTTCCATTTAAGTATTTTAATATCCTTACCAAATTTCCTACAGGTTAATCATAAGTTAGTAGAAAAAAGATCCCATGTAAGACTCTGTGTACAGAAAGGATCTTATTAAAGACAGCATGATGATAGCTATTTTGAATGTTATTTCACAAAAACTTCTGGCAATATAACCTTTGGACTAAGGAAGTTATAACCATAAGGAAGTTATAACTCCACTGGTATACTGTTGGGTTCTAATTTTACCTGCAGTTCTTGATGAGAAAATTTGAAAGACAAAAGAACACTTTCTATGCACAAACTAGTGACTGAGAAGGGCAGAATACTGTGGGAGCTCCATCTGTTGCAGTACAAATGAAATACTTCTGAAGAAAAAGGAAGAGGGAAAAGAGATATGTATAAAATGGAGAGCTCCTAGTGTTTAATCCAATTAACTTTTTATGACTTTTTTTCTCCCAAGATAATCTGTGGACACTAGTGCAGTTCTGTGAGTTCAAGAATAGCTTCAGTACATAGAAAATCAGGTGATTTTGCCCTTTCATGTTGTGACTACAAAAAACCTACAGTAAAGAAGGTATCTTTATAAGGAGATATTTTGGTTGTTACATGGAACTGCACAGTGTACTGAGTTTAGAGATAATTTAGTAATTTTTTTAATAATTAAAAGGCTTTTAATCTATGGAAAATACAGGTACTACAAGATAATAAAAATGATTAATTCTTTAAACAGAAAAGTCACTAAGTGTTTCAGCCATAATTATTTTTTTAGATGTATATAAACAAATATCAGCTCCTTTCCTTTCCACTGACTCTTTGCAGGAAGGTCCAGGCTTCCCTGTCAAGCTTTTGTTATCTTTCTGTAATCTTGATCTCTAGGAGATGTTTTCATAATACCTGAGGCCTGGCTTTGAGCTCCCTCATGTCTCAAGGTACATGTTTACAAGAGTTTTAAATGAGATGAGAAGAAAACTTTTATGATTAATTTCCTGGCTATTCCAAATGGCAGTGTTTTGAATCACATTGCAGAGCACTACCCAAGCATGTAAAATTGATTTGTTTCTGTTGAATCTAAATCAATAGATGTGCTTCTTGAAGGACAGTTAATGCACACCAACTGTTGATGGGCTTTTAGTCCATGGACCAAAATAGAGCTTGTTTGAAGTAAGCCCTCCATATCTTGTATAGTGTGGATGTGAGTTCTTTAGCACCACCCTTTTTGCTTTACAGATCCATTGCTACTGCTCTGCAGTACCTGCTCAAGTAGGTATAGATAATGTATTCTCTCTTCTGCCCTCAGTCAATCCTTAACAAAAAATGTCTTCTCCTCCAGCTGAGAGAGCTCCAGCTGATTCATTTTCTCACTGTTTAAAGAATTAAGTTCACAAACATAGTCTAATACAGTTGCTTTACAGCTAAATATACATGTTGATTTACATAAAAATTAACTATGCAGAAACATGCAAAGCATGTACACTGTTAGTTACTTGCACAATTTCTGAATCCACCAACAGTAAAACTTCAGTATGGAAATAACAAATAATTAGACATACTAGTATTTCTGGTGCAGTTAATCACTTTCTTTCCTTGGTTAATTGTTAAATATTGGCATTTTTTTACAATAATGATTAGTGTGTGCATTATGAAAACACAAGTATTCATTCATTGTTTGAAAATGTGACTCTTATAGTGGATGTTGAATATAATATTTAACTTGCACCTCTCTGTAACACGCAAAAGAGGACAGAGAGAAGGAATTTTCTATAGTTTCATCATTATTACTAGTTGTGTATCTTATCTTCAGAGACCACAGAAGAACTACAGAGAAAGAGATGTGATCAAAAATCTAGTTTCAGTTACATGTTTCTTATTCCATACCACAAGCAATGGTGTTATGAGTGTTACTTAGAAAATAACTTTAAAATTGGATCTTCAAGGCATGTGAAACAGTGACTGACTTACAGTTAGTCAAGCCCAAATCTGTAGCAGTGGCCCAAAACAATGTAAAACTACAAGCCTTTCAAAATAAATTCATAGATATGGAGGGATTTTAGTTACTCTGTTTTTTGTAAAGGAAAAATTAATATTTCAAGTCTGATAAGAATAGCTGAGCTCTGCTTATTGAAGAAATTCTTTTCCAATTACATCTTCCCCATACTTTAATAATGCTTCATTTTCAAGGATCTACAGCATGTTATAGTTCACCAGGGAAAGCACATACTTGACAGTTTTATCAATACCTAAATAAATAAATAAAATCCACCAAAACCTCAGAATTTCAACTATTCACTTGAAAATTATAACTGAAATTTCAGTAAGCAAGGTCACTCCAGGTTCATAACGTGTTTACCATTTACTAAAAAAGATTATTTGTTTATCCCATATTTTGCATAGTTGGTTTAACTTCTTTGTTCAGCAAAGGGGAATATCTGTCAGGCCTTCGTGTGCAGTACTTCAGACTATACAATCTCATGCAGTGTGCATGGTTATTGAAAGTTAGTATCCATGGCACTTTAGCATTTGAGAAAAATATCATTGCAATAGCAACTCCCTTTGTAATTCTTGTTGAAAAGGAAAAATAACTGTATTTGGCAGTGTAACTTCTTTATTAAGGCTTGCATGGAAAGCATTGTAATAGTACCTGTATTTATTGATTTCGTCTTCACATGTTGCTCCATGTTGGCACAGGTTTACCTCACAGTCATTAATATTCTCCAAGCATGTTTGTCCTGTCCATCCAACAGCACAGACACAGTGAGGTCTCTGGTTTTCTTCATCATAGAAGCAGTTTCCTCCATTTGCACAAATCTGGAGACAAGAAGTACGAATACATAACAAGACTTTTTTTCTGCATGTTGGGTTTTCCCGCAAAGAGTGTAACTAAATAAGTTGTTAATAAATGCAGTTATTTCATGTTTTTGTTTTGTAATTTTATAAAAGACACATCTTCAAGAACCTAAAATACTGAATGTCATTAAATCAATATATCAATTCATTGATTAGCTAGAAAGGGGCATTTATGACTGAATTGAACAGTGTCATTTTCATGACAGATGTTAAAATGTGTTTGTTTTAGATGGTGAGGGATGATGGTGACCTAGTCTTTCATTTTTCCATTGAAAGAGTAGAACAACTATTCCTGTGCCTATCTGCTGGAGGGACAACATAGCAAAGCACCAGAAATCCAGGAAGTTCCTGGAGTGTATTGATGACAACTTCCTTCTTCAAATGGTAGAGGAACCAACAAGAAAAGGTTCTTTGCTGATGGGCTGATTGATGATGTAAATCTTAATGGGAGAGCAGGCTGTAGCAGCAATGACATGGTCAAATTCAGGATTCTTGCAGGAGTGAGGAAGGAGCGAAGCAAGCTCACTACCCTTGACTTCAAGAGAGCAGATTTTGGTCTCTTCAAAGATCTGCTTGATTGGATACTGTGGGACAAAGCCCTGGCAAGAAGGGGTAGCCCAGTAAAGCTGGTCTATATTCACGGATCACTTTCTCCATGCCCAGGAGCTATGTGTCCCAAATGAAGAGGAAGGCAGGCAGGAGAGCCATGAGGATGAGCAAAGAGCTTCTGGACACAGTTAAATATAAAAACAACGTATACAGAGAATGGAAGCAGGGCCAGGTATCCTGGGGGGAATACAGACAAGCTGTCAGAGAAGCAAGGGATTGGGTAAGGAAGGCCAAAGCACAGATAAAATTGGACTTGGCCAGGGATGTTAAGAATAACAAGAAAGGTTTCTACAGGTATGTCAGAAATAAAAGGAAGATGAGGGAAACTGTGGACCTGCTTCAGAAGAAAACTTGAAACCTGGCCACGCAGAACATAGAGAAGGCTGAGGTACTCAATGACTACTTTGCCTCAGTCTTCACCGGCAAAGGCTCTGGCCACACCATCCAAGTTGGAGAAGGTGAAGGCATGAACTGTGAAAAGAAAGAACTCCCCATCATAGGAGAAAAGCAGGTTTGTGACCATCTGAAGGACTTGAAGGTGCACAAGTCTATGGAACCTGACAGAATTCATCCATGGCTCCTGAAGGAAGTAGCTGATGAAGTTACAAAGCCTCTGTCCATCGTATTTGAAAAGTCTTGGCAGTCTGGAGAAATCCCCACTGACTGGAAATTGGGAAACATAACTCCCATTTTCAAGAAAGGAAAAAAGGAAGACCCAGGGAACTATAGACCAGTCAGTCTCACCTCTGTGCCCAGCAAGATCATGGAGGAGATCCTCCTGAAGGCTCTGTTGAGGCACATGCAAAATGAACAAGTGATTAATGACAGCCAACATGGCTTCACCAAGGGTAAATCCTTCCTGGCTGATGTAGGGGCCTTCTACAATGGGGTCATGGCATCGGTGGACAAAGGAAGAGAAACCAACATCATCTACCTGGACCTGTACAATGCTTTTGACACTGTCCTGCACAATAACCTGGTATCAAAACCAGAACAGTGCAGATTCAATGGATAAACTACTCGTTGGTTAAGGAACTCAAAGAGCGGTGATCAATGTCTCAATATCCAGATGGAGACCTGTGATGAGTGGTGTTCCCCAAGCATTAGCACTTGGCGCAAGGCTATTTAACATCTTAGTCAGTGGCATGGACAGTGCCATTGAGTGCCCCCTCAGCAAGTTTGCCAATGACATCAAACTGTGTGGTGAGGTTGACATGCTAGATGATCTTTAAGGTCCTTTCCAACTCAAAGTATTCTATGATTCTATGACTCTATGATATAATTAATTTCAATTTGAGGCTATCAAGGAAAAAAAAAAATTAATTATTGATATTGATATTGAAAACATAATAAACCTAGAATGCAACATTTTTTCTTTTAGATATTATTTAATATTTTTTACTGAACCAGTATTTCCTGTTTTCTTAAAAAATTACTGAAAGTTCTAGGTAAGAATGAATACTCCTTTCTCAGTTTTACCATTAGAGTCCCATTTAATTTCCATGAAAATTTTACCAGTGTAAAAATGGATAACTACATTTTCATTTCAAACCAATTAAGATGTCTCCTTCTAATCAATTGGTTTCTAAAGAAAATGGTGTCTAGAAGATGAGCTAATGTACTAGTACTTCAGTTTGATTGAGTCTGTATCTCTTTATAATGTCATGAAGATTTGTAATAATAACGATTCTTGGCAGATATCCTCCGATATTCATTTGTCTTTGATTAAGTTTTAAATTGACCTTAAAATTAAGATAATTTTGCTGTGCTCTCAGTATTGAATTTTAGACTTTACTTGGGATCCTTTTTCAGCAATACAACTTGAAGAAAAGAACTGCTCCACATAAATGTGAAGAAACAACTTCCAACTAAATTATGCAGGTGGACCTCAATAATCCAGTTGGACACAACTTCAGCACTGCTAAGATGTAGGTAGACTTCTCAGGGATGGTTCTGGTTTTAACTCATACGGGAATTATTTTTAACAAACCAAGTAGACGCCAAATAAGTTTGCCTGTCTGCATTTTAATATAGAACAAAAAAGTAATTGAAGAGTGCTTTTAAACTCCTATTTCTTTCAATAGCAATAACCATTTCTATAGGTACTCCTGTAATTTCAAATCTTTTCTTAGGAACCTATGTGGTAGATGCACCCGCCTGAACAAAGACCTGACAAACACAAGACCTATCTGGCTGTCAAAACCTGATTACTTTGTTGTTTTTTTTTCATGCAACTACCTGTGTTTTTTTGTGTACTTATAGTGGCTGTTACTGGGTTCACAGTCACTGGAATACGGGGTCCCCAGCCAGTCAGAAGTGACCACAAGTCAGACTTGACTGAGGTATAAATGGAGTCCTGCAGAAGAACTGAGTCATTCATCCTCAGAGCAGGGGGTCTGAAGTCCCCCCTTGGATTAGGGCACCACCCAAACTAATTCTCTGGGACTGAGACCCCTCATTTTATGGGTGAGTGATTGCATATTTTGGGTCATCATTCTAAAGGATTGTTAATGAAAAACCAGGAATTTTTAGATTAGCTGTGTAGTAATATTTCTGCTTGGCATCTGAACTTGTGGTTCACTACTGTTTTTCAGAGTGTTAATTAATTTTGGTTAGAATAAACCTCATTTTGAGTGTCTGATCTGTCTATTGTATGGGTGCCTCTGCAAAAACCTATGATTTTGTAAGCTTGCTGACAGAATTTGGAAAAGCTAGCATGGGTCAATAAAAGGGCTCAATAGAATTTATCCATGGCCATTAAAAATAATCACACATCTTAGGATGCCTCTGTATTTTTGATTGTTTGGGTAGTTTGGACTTTTGAAGTGAATAATCTCTTCAGGCATATGGTGGTGTTCCTGTCACTGGAGGCTTTCAAGGTGTGATAGGACAGGGTGCTAGATAATCTCACCTGGGTTCCATTTCTCATAAAAGGTTAGTCTAGATGGTCTTTTGAAGTCCCTTCCAACCTGGGTTGTTCTGTGATTCCATGGTTCTATGATTTACACCCAGTATGTTGCACCACAGTTAATTGTTATTACTATTGTTTTTCTTTAAAATATTATAATATAAAAATATTGCAGCAGATAGCATGCATTCTATATTCACATGAGACAAGGATATTTATTTCTATTGACATTTTCCTGAGTAGATAGAAGACAGTATAATATGAAGTGGCTAGATTTGTTCATATTGTAAGTAATTAATTTAAAGATGTCAAGATTTTGATTTATTTGTAAGTCCTTCATAATTCTAGGTACAGGACAGGCTGGCTTTATCCTGGTCACAATGGTAAAATTACATTTTCAGATCTAAAGGAATATATAACCTGTTCTAATATGTTTACATTAAAAAAAATAAATTAATTTAAAAATAAATTATAATTAAAAATAAATTATAATTAAAATAACATTAACAACTACCTTAGTGTTTTAAATGTTGTGCTGGGTCCGAAAAAAAAAAAAATCTAAGCCCTAAAT